AATAAATTTACGTACGCTGGAGGATATGTTTATGTCACGAAATAAAAATAAAAGAGGGAAGAAGATAATTTATGTAGGAGGAATAGCGCCCTAGATGACGTTTATATAGGACACTAGGAGTTAAGATTGGCATGTTGAATTCTTGAAGAACGTGGGAAAAAATGAGTTACATAATGGAGTTGTCGTGTGGAGTTTGTGAATATGTGATTAGTGGGTAACAAAAAAGTAGAAAAAATAAATAACGTGAGTAAGTGGGTGTATTAGGGTTTCAGAGATATGATAAGTGGTCGTATTAAGGTTTCAAAGATATGATATGTTTATTCAAATGCCGGACTGATATGTGAATATTTAAATTAAATATTAGCTAATAATCTTGATGGGATCCATTTCAAAATTGAAACTTGGTGGATAAAAAAGGCGAATTAGCAGCAAACTCCTTTTATTTATCTTTGTATGTTTTCTGTTTGTTTATGCCTTTATTTTATTTCTTTTAAATAAAAGGTTTAATTTCTTTATTTTATTTCCTTGTAAGAAAGGTGATCAGTTATAATATTTTTTACGGTTTTTAATAGAGACGAATCATTTATAAGTTTTTGTAAACCAGTTGAATATATTTTTCAGTCTTTTAATATAATGCAAATATTAGCATATAAAAGAATAATGAATTAGCTAACATTTGTATTTCGATGAATTCTCATTTAACTAAAACAAATCTAATGTATATTGCAACGCAAATTAGGCTGTGTTTGTTTAGTGCATAATGAGCGCTGAATGAGCATAATGACTTATTCGGTCAGCAAAATACTATTTAGTGTGTTTGATTAATATATCTGAATCGCACCATTTTATTCTGATCGATTAAGTGTAGAATATCACACTTAATTAACCAGAGATAGCTCTGAATGGGTTTTGGACAATTTTATCCAATTAAAGTTTTTGATAACTCCAACATCATTTGTCTCTTACTTCTCTTATTAAAAATTGAATCTAGAAAACATTAAATTCTTTTATTACTATCAAATTTATCTCTATTAAACAATATTAATCAAAATAGAGAAAAATGTGATAAAAGCTTAAACAATTGTGAGAAAAAAATATATAAAACCTAAACAATTATGAACAAGATATAAACTATATATAATTGTGTGACTCATTTCCTTTCGTTCTTTCGCACAGTGGTATATACACAAATTCACATAGTGATAGTGAAGAATGATATATCATATAAGAGATCAATATATTACAAGAGCAGCTTATATTTTTTAACTTAAAAAAATTGATTCTACTTGAATTATTTTATATTGAAGAATATATATGTATCCCATATTATTGTATCTACTATTGGTCCTCGTTCTATTAAAAAAAATAGATAGTACTAATAATATATCTATATAATAGATTTGTCTACGGGGATAAAATTGGAAAATTACACCATTCAGATATTAAAGATGTTCAATTATCAAATAAACTTATTTGTTCAGCATTCAACATTCATATATTGTTCTTAACTGTTCAGATGTGTATTCAGCATTCAACATTCAGTGTTTAATTCTATCAAACATAGCCTTAGTTGAGACAAATATGTGCTTAGATTGTTTGTAATTATTGGCCCTAGTAATATGGAGAAATGGTTAGATTGTTTCATGTTATGTGTCTAAACTTATTGTATTTAGTACCTTTATAAAAGTTGTAACTGCGCTTTTCCCCGTGTGAAATACTTATTTAAAAAGAAACCTATAAAAAAATGTGAAAGCCATTTACATCCATAAAAACAATATCATGTCCCAACGCGCGTCAACTGAGTTTATTTTTCATTTTTTTTGAGGATTTCACTAATGAATAACAAAAATACATTCTTACAATAAACACAAACTCAATTGGGTTTAATGAAGAATAATTTAACTTGTTAGTATGAAATTGTAATTTATAAAGTTCTTTAAGAAACTTAAAATACGATTAAATTGCACTTCATATTAAATAATATGAATTTATAGGATCATATTTACTTTATAAAGTTCTTTAACAAATTTAAATTTTACAACCATAATCTCAAACACAACTCCAATACAAAATAAATATATATATATATATATATATATATATATATATATATATATATATATATATATATATATATATATATATAACTTATATATAAAATATATAAAATCTGGGCCTGATCTGAATTTATATTACGGAAAGTAATAACAAAATAAGTATTACTAATGGATTTGCAACAAAACCAATAATAGCGACATGAAATAACATGAAAAAGCAAAGAACTGTGATATAGCAACCACCTACCAAAATAACTAACAAAAACGAAGAGGAAAACAAAACTAACTACGTACGAAAGTTTCAAATTTTAAAGCAAAAAACAGGAGTTTAAAAAACACATCATAATACATAATGAAATTGAAGTGGCTGCACCAATAAAACAATAAAACCATAAAACCATTACTTTGAATCCTTCTCTTGTTTAGTTCTTGTTGGCACGAGATTTCTGTTTGTGAAGATTGAAGAAATCCGCCATACGTGGAAATTAAAGATTGGCAAAGATTTGTTTTCCATGTTTATTTTGGAATTAATTAGAGTTCTATTTTTGTAATATTGTTATTAGGACTTAGATTTATTTCCATGTATTGTATTCTAGTTAGGTATCTTTTGTATTTATCTAGAATAGAAGTAGATTTCAACTAGGATTCTATTACCTAGTTAATCGATTTCTTAGGGCTCAAGTTAGGTTTAGGGTGGTGGATTTCGTGCCTATATAAGGCCCTCAACCTCATATGAGTCCGATGGAGCTTTACAAAGAAAAATCCCAGCATAAAGGCTTTGAAGGGTGCAGCCCGTGCTGCAGCCCTGTCTGCACGACAGGTGTGGCAACAGAACAGGTTTCTTCTACCAGGCCATAAAGAAGATCGGCGTTTCGGGAGAAGTGCTTAAAAGATCTCGGGAGAGGTCGATCCGCCGTTTGAAGGGAGTTCAACATTGGAGGAAGTCCAAGAGTGCGGATGGAGGAATTGCTTTGATTATCAACAAGTTCGAGTCGTGTGCAAGAACGGCGTATCACATAAAGAGGGAGTCTTTAGTGTTTTATTAAGTCCTATTAATGTACACATAAATCTGAACTAGTTTTGCAAGTCCTCGTGGATGTAGGGTACATTTGTATCCGAACCACATTAAATTGTTGTGTTCTTTATTCTGCTTTTCGTAGATTTATTACTGTGACAACACGACAATTCTGTTACCACACCTAATGTCGTAACACGTAGTCTGTCTCAACAGATGAGTGGACTTTGATAGGCATTCAAAATTCAACAATTGGCATCAGAGCGGGTCACTAGATATACTTAGTGTCCGATTTTGGGTTTTGATTTGTTTGCTTTGCTTATTGGATGACGTGTGTTCACAAGGAAGGTTGAGACGGAAGTCTGTCACGGCATTCACCCAATTCCGCTGCGTTGTAACGTGCCCCGTGATGGGACACTCTGATAGAAGACCAAGACGGGTGAAGAAAAGTGACATCTTTGTTGCAGGGGGAGTTCTTGTTAAATCTCATCTGCAGGGGGAGTTCTTGTTAAACATGGATTCTAACCAATCAATGCCAAAGGGGGAGATTGTTGGCACGAGATTTCTGTTTGTGAAGATTGAAGAAATCCGCCATACGTGGAAATTAAAGATTGGCAAAGATTTGTTTTCCATGTTTATTTTGGAATTAATTAGAGTCCTATTTTTGTAATATTGTTATTAGGACTTAGATTTATTTCCATGTATTGTATTCTAGTTAGGTATCTTTTGTATTTATCTAGAATAGAAGTAGATTTCAACTAGGATTCTATTACCTAGTTAATCGATTTCTTAGGGCTCAAGTTAGGTTTAGGGTGGTGGATTTCGTGCCTATATAAGGCCCTCAACCTCATATGAGTCCGATGGAGCTTTACAAAGAAAAATCCCAGCATAAAGGCTTTGAAGGGTGCAGCCCGTGCTGCAGCCCTGTCTGCACGACAGGTGTGGCAACAGAACAGGTTTCTTCTACCAGGCCATAAAGAAGATCGGCGTTTCGGGAGAAGTGCTTAAAAGATCTCGGGAGAGGTCGATCCGCCGTTTGAAGGGAGTTCAACATTGGAGGAAGTCCAAGAGTGCGGATGGAGGAATTGCTTTGATTATCAACAAGTTCGAGTCGTGTGCAAGAACGGCGTATCACATAAAGAGGGAGTCTTTAGTGTTTTATTAAGTCCTATTAATGTACACATAAATCTGAACTAGTTTTGCAAGTCCTCGTGGATGTAGGGTACATTTGTATCCGAACCACATTAAATTGTTGTGTTCTTTATTCTGCTTTTCGTAGATTTATTACTGTGACAACACGACAATTCTGTTACCACACCTAATGTCGTAACACGTAGTCTGTCTCAACAGATGAGTGGACTTTCATAGGCATTCAAAATTCAACAGTTCTCTTGCAATACACATCAGTAGTTGACGATTAGGTATTTGTATCAGCATCACCTGAAGAGCTAGAAGTAGTAAGTTCATCGACAAATCTTTTATCACATGACTTGCTAACTGGAACTGCATCATCGTCAATTGGGTGGAAATCCTACAACGGAAAACATGACTTATAATATATATCACAAAGGGAAAAAAATAAACAAAAGGTTATGCGTATATTTATATAACAAAATTTTAGATAGAGTAATACCCTTGAATTTTCATATTCCTGCTGAATAAAATTTCCAATAACTTGATCATCTTCTTCGTCGAGTGCCTGCAACAAAAATAAATTAACCATATAATTGTAGATTGTAAAAAAAAATGGGATGTATATTTTTTCTTATCCACCTTCATTCCACTCTTAATTTTTTGTATCTTTTCTTCATCGTTTGTCATCGTCTTAACTGTGTAAAGCGACCAATTCTTCTTGACATTCATTTCACTGATTTGTATTTTAAATAAAAATTCTTTATTAACCAACATCTGAAACTCAGACCAATTCTTCTTGACATTCATTTCACTGATTTGTATTTTAAATAAAAATTCTTTATTAACCAACATCTGAAACTCAACGGGAAGTGTGGAGAGTACTTAATAAGGCTATGCTTGAAAAATATATAATTAATGCAACATTGAAATTATAAAGCTACTGATAATATGGAACATAGGGGTATCTTTCGTAACTAATGAAAGATACTTCGATTCAAATTGCTCTTTGGTATGATCATGGTTCGTCGACTTCATCACTGATTTCGTCGTCTTCGTCACTGATTTTGTCGAAATCTTGATCTTGACGCGGGAATTGTTGGATACCAAACGATGCCCCATTGGTACGACCATGATCAATCTGCGACAGTTTCTCTTCCATCGACCTCATCACCGATTCGTGGTAATCTTGATCTTGACGCGGGAATTGTTGGATACCGAACGACCCCATTTGTCCTTGAATCGCTTGGATTGCCGACAAATCGCTATCGGAATAGAACCCACCGCTATTTTCATTCATCAAATAGTCGTTATTATAATTAGCCGGCATAGTCGTCGTCGTCGGCTGCGGCGGCGGCGCATTGCTCGAGCTCGCCCCGGGATCAAATCGGGTCGACCCGGGAAGCCAAGAAGGGTGACTATCCGAGACACGAGGATCAACCCATCCCAATTCAAAATTGGTCGGCGGCCCCCCGGCCGGGACCCAAGTTGAAGAAGGATCGGCGGCGGCAGGAGGCGGCATATTATTCATGAAGGGGTGGCGGTGGTTCCTACACGCGGCGAGCTGCGCGTGCACGCGGTTGAGTTCTTGGAGGGCGTAGTGATGCTGGAGATGGAGGTCTTGGATAACTCTGGTGCACCCTTCCACAGGGAATCGCTCCCTCATCTTGGACTCGAAAATGATGGATTTCATGGCGTCGTCTCTTTCGATATCGGTTTTTAGGCTTTGTAGGATTTTGGTCACGTTCGAAACGCCGAACAAACGGTGCACGCATTGGAATGTCTTCGGCTGGTTGGCCGGAAAATACGGAGCCAGCGGGCACTTAGGGCTGCATTTTCTTCTTTGGTATTTGCATGCTGCGCAAGCTGGAGTTGTGCCTCCTGTCATATATGCTTTTATTTTTTTTTGCAGAAAAATAAAAAGAAGAGAATCTCCAAATGGGGGGTGGGGTGGGGTGGGGTGGGGTGGGGTGTATTTATAATATATGTGTGTGAAGAAAGAAAGAGACGTAGAAAGGCTGGTAATTGTGTTTTTTGAAAAACCGCACGTGCGGTTTGTTGTGATTTGTTTGAGATTAGGGAGGATTCTTGATTTGATTAGTTGTGATACAAAATGATTATAAGATGTGTTTGGATTGTACTTATCAGATTGTGTTGCATAAGAAATTATATTTTTACAAAATGAGTATAAAATTAGAAAATGTTCCACGGAATCTAAAAATGTGTAAGAAGATTTATAGTTGAAGTCTTGAAGAGGGTGGTTGTAATTACCGAAATATGAAGGGTTTTTTTGTAATTTAACTTTACCTCACGGGATGACAGTAATTTACCCATTAATAATTCGCTAAATTTATAAGATAATGTATATTTGAATATTCTAATAGGGCACAACTAATATATAAACTAATAGTACTACATATAAATTACTCTTCAAATAATGCATAGTATATATATTACGTTTACAATAAATATCGAAATGAAATAACATAATATGTTTGCGTTTTCTTTTCTTCCGTGTTGAAGTTGACACGATTTCAATCTCATCCCTCACTTTTGATAACGTGGCAAGAATTTTCGATGTAGTTTTGTTGTAAGTGAAAAAAAATAAAAATCAGTACGATTGTTGTTTTAAGTATTTCATTTTCCGAAAAAACATGCTATCTAATAAAACTATCATCTTTATGAGTTCCATTGAATTTAAAGAAAAAAACCAAATAAAATAATAAATAAATTTAATAACTTCATAAAGTACTAATAAGTTATTAATAAATTTATAAATTATAAACAAATGAGGGGTTCAAAACAACAACCGAAATAAATAAATAAATGAAATTAAACATAATAATAGGGTAAATTACAATCATCTCCCTAAGGTAAAGTGTAGTTACAAAAACCTCCCTTATATTTGAGAAATTACATTCACCCCTGCGGTTTGTAATATTCTTTAATTCATCCACTCCTTACAGAAGGGTGTTAATGTAAGAACTTTACAAATTGCAAGTGGTGAATGTAATTTTATAAAAATGAGGGGGTTTTCGTAATCAGGTAAAATGTAGCTAAGAAACTAGATTACTAATCATTAAATTATATCAACTTCTATTCTAAGTACCAATTTTATACTTCGAAACACTAACTTATATAAAGGGAATCAAATGCAAAATACTTATATAAATATACAAAGATCTCAACATATATATAACATGTTTTCACCCTAAAGTTCAAATAATTGAAATAAATAAATAAAATTGAACGTAAAAAAAGTCGAATTGTCGAAAGATCTAAGCCGTTCTAATTGACGGTAGCTTTCATTAGCTCTCTCCGGGCCCGGCATGTCGTCTCAACTGTTGTATCTGAGCCATCGATGAAAATTATCGCGTCGAATCAGTTATTTATATGCAATATTTGATCCATTTACCATTAATACAAACGAATTTAAAAGCTAGGTTTTATTGTATATATTTATTCTAATTGTTGATTGTTTCTAATTTTTTTTTTTTGTTTTATAAACATTAGAAAAAACAAAATTTTTATTGGCACCACCACTAACCATTTAGGGTTGCATGGTAATATTTATAACATTGAGTATTTTTGGTAATTCAATATCCACCAGAATACCAAATGTAATAAACTCATAACTATATTTAAATGTAATTTAAATACTCTCTTTGTTCTTAAATAGGTGTGTCCGTGTGTGTTGTTTTTCACAGTGCCATCACAAATTTTAGGAATCCCGCCAAATATGTCTTGTTTCTAGGAAAGTAAATACGATAGACGAAAATACCGTTAATTGTTTACTAATGAATACTGAAATAATCGATGAATACTGAAATAGTGTTCGACAGTCAATAAAGGTATAATCGAAAAATATGTAAGTAATGCAACATTGAAATTGTAAAGCTACGGATAATATGGATCAAAAAATTTACGGAACAGAGGGGTATATTTCGTAATTAATGAAAGAATATAACTCGAGTCAAAAGGCTCGTTGGTATGATCACGATCAATCTGCGGCAGTTTCTTGTTTGTCGACTTCATTACCGGTTTCGTCGGAATCTTGATCGTTAGGGAGGAATTGTTGGATATCGAACGACGATGATGGCTCTTCGGTACGATCACCACGATCAATCTGCAGCGATAGTGTCTCGTACTTCGAATTCGTAAACCATTCTTGGAAATCTTGATCGACTTGACGTACTAATTGTTGGATATCGAACGACGACGATGCCTCTTCGGTACGATCACCACCATCAATCTGCAGCGATAGTGTCTCGTCCGTTGACTTCATAAACCATTCTTGGAAATGTTGACCGACTTGACGTAGTAATTGTCGGATATCGAACGATGACGATGCCTCTTCGGTACGATCACCACGATCAATCTGCAGCGACCGTGTCTCGTCCGTCGACTTCATAACCGATTCTTGGAAATCTTGATCTCGACGACGCGGGATACCGAACGACGACCCCATTTGTTGTTGAATTGCCGAATTCAAATAATTAGCCTGCGGCGGCGGCGGCGGGGGCGGCATACTGCTAGAGCCCGAGCCCGACCCGGATTCAAAATGGGTCGACCCGGGAAGCCAATTAGTAGAAGGTGGATGCTCCGAGGAGAGATATTGAGGGTCAACCCTGAATTCAAAATAGGTGGGCCCCACGTCGGAAGGCGGCGGCATACTGCTAGAGCCCGAGCCCGACCCGGGTTCAAATTGGGTCGACCCGGGAAGACAATTAGTAGACGGTGGATACTCCGAGGAGAGATATTGGCGGGAAGAAGCTGGCTGCGCATTATTATTATCCACGAAGAGGTGGCGGTTGTTCCGACACGCGGCGAGCTGCGCTTTCACGCGCTGCCATTCTTGGAGGGCGTCTTGGATCTGGAGTTGGAGCTGCCTGATAACTCCGGTGCACCCCTCCGCAGGGAATTGCTCCCACGCATTGGACTCGTCGATGATGGATTGCATGCATATGTCTCTCTCGGCATCGGATTTTAGGTCTTTTAGCATTTCGGTGATTTTCTTAACGGTGAACAAACGGTGGACGCTGTGGAATATGTTGAGGGGCTGGTTGGCCGGAAAATAGCGCCGGAGAGGGCAGTCGTCCGGGCACTTTCTTCTTCGGTAATAGCATGCTGCGCATCTTGTTTGGATTCTTGTCATTGCCAATTAATTACTCGGTTTTTTTTTTCAGAAAAATAAAAATAAAAGAATCTCCAAATGTGTGGGTGGGTGGGGGGCGGGGGTATTTATATAATTTATAATATATGTGTGTGAAGAAAGGGAAAGACGTAGAAATGTTGGTAATTACTAATTAGTCTGTTTTCTTAAAACCGCACGTGCGGTTTGTTTGTTGTGATTCTTGCACGTGAAACAAGATTGATTGTAACTTTAACTATTTGACACCGTAAGAGTGGACGTGTAAGAATATTCGTAGTTAAATAGAGTTGTTGTAATATCGGCTTTTGAGATCCTACACCGGGTAGATTTTAACCATTCATATACATATAAAAACACACACACACATCTACATTGGTATGTGTAGATCAACAGTAAAAAATCACCCAATGTAACCTTTACCGAACGTAGGATAGATAAAACCGTAATTATTCAAACATGAAGGGGCTTTTTGTAATTTAATTTTATCTCATGGGATGGCAGTAATTTACCCATTAATGATTCGCGAAGTATATAAGATAATGCATATTTGAATATTCTAATAGGGCCATCTAGTATGTAAACTGATAATGCATGTAAATTACTCTTCAAATAATACATAGTATACGTACTACTTTTACAATAAATATCTAAAAGACAATAAAATATGTTTTAATTTTTTTTTCTTTCGTGTTGAAGTTGACATCACTTCAATCCTATGTAGTACGGACCCGGCGAAAAAATATTAAATTATTTTCATGCACCTCGATTCAATCGACTCATCTCTCCTCGGTTAAATTCGTCACCGATTCTTCGAAATCTTGATTACGGTGAGGGAGTGGTTGGATAGGAAATGTCTCCATTTGTTCTTCATGAATTGCCATCAAATTGCTATCCAAACCAAAACTATTAATATCACTACAAAAAAATGATTATTATTAGCTCACATAAGCATGTCGTCACTACTCGAGCTCGATCCATATTGTAACTGGGCCGGCCCACCAGAAATCCAAGAAGAGTCATCAATTTGGTTCTGGTTGGCCGAACCAGGCCCAAATTCTAAATGGGTCGGCCCAAAAAGGCTCAAGTGGGCCCTACACTGATCGAGCTTCATGTTCAGGTGTTGCACCTCTTCTAATGCGTATTCGAGTTTGAGGCGATATAGCTTCTCTACATAGCGGCACCCAAGCACGGGGAACATCGCCCTTGCATTAGCCTCGTATATGATCGATATCATGGCACGATTTCTTTCGAAATCACACACGTGTGATTTGTTGGGATTTTTGTTAATCTTTATTTATTTATTTTATTATTAATATTTTTTTATAAATAGTAATTTGTGTTTGTTGGGATGGTTAGATAACTTGGTAAATGAATTTGAAAAATGATAGCCGTTAATGATGCATATGTCATCATAGTATAGAGTCCTAGGTTGATTAGTACTCTATTATGACTTGGTTTGATTTATTCAGTCAATATTAATTAGGGGCTAGTTTTTTGTTTTTTGTTTTTTTTTTCTTTTTTTTTTTTTGTGTGTGTAATGGTGTATGTATATGGTTGTCCCCTTCCTATTTTTTTCTTACACAATTGGGAAATTATATTGGTTGTTGGTTAAGGGTATAATAAATACGGGTTTTGGCGTGCTCGTGCAATTTTTTTTCAAACGGGCATAAGTAATAAAGTGCTATTTATGATCAATTTTATCAAGTTATATTTATACCCCAAATGTGTATACATTAATACATATTTTAC